CCCTAAACAGTTCAAAATAAATCAAAATATTTTGAAAATTTTATCGTGTATAGAAAATGCAAATATAAACAACCAGTGAAAATTTCATGTATCTACGGTCATTTGTTTTAAAGTTACACCAAAAACCAAATTCGATTTTGTCAAAAACTGATTTTGCGTAAAAATTCCCGTTTTTCCTTAATTTTTATGTTGTTTTTCCCGGCGCTTGTGAAAACTATTGGGAATTTTAAACTTTGACCTCCCCAATGCACCAACGATATTCACTTTCCAATCGAACAAGATACTGAAGTCAAAAATCGAAGCATTATTTCGACTACTTATCGTGTACACAGACACAAAAATAAAAAAATAAAAAAATAAAAAAATAAAAAAATAAAAAAAAAAAAAAAACACACATCATTGTAAAATCAATACATTCATCGTTTCACTCAGAATCTAATATCAATGTATAAGAAAAACGATTCTGAGCGAAAACGGCCAATCAGCCTATGATATTGCTAAGTATATTTGATGATATTAAGGTGAATAAAGTAATTTATATATAACAAATTTACGTGGAATCTTGTATTAAATTTTCAAGATTTTTTACCTAACAAATTGAAAACTGACAATGTCCGTAAACAGCTTAAAAAGAGTCAAATTATTTTCAAAATTGTATGGTATATAGAAAATGCTAATATACACATTCAGTGAAATTTTCAAGTATTTACAGTCAATAGTTTTTTAATTACAATAAAACAAGAAAATCGTTACATCAGAAATCGAGTGAATATCAAATGTTGTAAAAATATGAATTTTAAACACTCATAAAAATTTAATTTGAGTTTTTTGTAGACATTTTTTTTTTTTTTTGATAAAGATAGACAAACTTATGAGGAATCTTGTATTACATTTTCAAATCTTAGATTTCAAAAGAAAATTTTTTATGAATTTCTAACTCAAAATAATTTGCAAATTTTCGTCATTTTTACATATTTTGTCAATATTTGAACTTGTGACTATGGATTTTTAATTTTTTTCATCTGCCTTTGAAACAATATATTAGAAGCCTTCTATTAAATGTTCAAGTATTTTTACTTAACAAATAAAATTTTATTGATATTTATAAAAAAAAAACTAAAAGAATGGAAACTTAAAATGTCAGTAAACAGCTCAAAATAAATCAAAATATTTGGAAAATGTTATGGTGTATAGAAAGTGCGAATATAAACATTCATTCAAAATTTCATGTACCTACTACCTACGGTAATTTGTTTAAGAGTTGCACCAAAAACCAAAATCGATTTTCTCGTAAACAGATTTTGCGTACAAATTCCCGTTTCTCCTTAATTTTTCTTTTGTTTTTCAAATCGATTTTGAAAACTACTAGGAAATTTTTACTTTTCACCCCCCAAAGTACCAACTAGATTTACTTTTCCATCAGAAAAGATACTGCTGAAGAAAATCCAAGCATTTTTACTGTCCTATAAGGTGATAACAGACACAAAAAAAAAAAAATAAAAACACACATCATTGTATAATCAATACATTCATCGTTTCACTCAGAATCTAAAATATCTATATACATAGAACTGGCATGTATTCATTACCTACCATATAAATTACCAATAAATATAAACTATTAAATTTTAATAGACATGTTAAAAAGACTGTAAACATTGACTACTATGAAAATTACAAATGTCATCAAACGATATTACCTGGGTTAGCCGGGCCCAACCCAAACTGCTCCCATCTATTGTTTGTTAGTTCCGAAACGATATAATTTACTTTGCATATAAAATTGGAAAAAACAGCTACAAGTTTTTAACTACGCCTCTTTTGAGACAGTCCTATAAGCCTCATGGTGGTTAAGGGGGGGAGGGGTTAGTTCCCCCCAAATATTTATCGAGCCTCCACAAACAGATACAAATTAAAAAGTAACTTTCTAGGTTACTTTTTAGTTTGTATCTGAACCAATTATATTTAATGTCATCAATATCAAGATTTTATTTATTTTTAACCCGGCAATTTTTGGCAACAATTGTTAAATTACAAATAGCTTAAGCTATTTTTCTTATCACCAAAAAGCATAATACATAACGAGTTAATGAAATAATTTTTAAAAAACCTCAAATTTGTTCATATTTTTTTTTTTAATTACCTATTTCATTAACTCGTTATGAATTATGCTTTTTGGTGATAAGAGAAAAAGCTTATTGCCAAAAATTGCTTGGTTAAAATTAAAGAAAATCGTGATATTGATGATATTAAACAAGTAGGTACCTAGTTACTGAAGATGTGTACCAAAATTTAAATAAATTGTTATAAGTAGCTTTCACTATACCTGTTAGTTGCGCAACCTGCAAACGTTCATTATCTTCAATGCGGCAATTAAATGCTTGTCAGAAAACAACAATGAAACAAGAACGATTTTCAAATTTATTAATATTGAATACCGAAAAAGATGTAACTATTAGTGTTGACACAAAAACAATTATTGATACATTTTCAGCAACTAATGGAAAATTAGTATTGATTTTATATTATTTTATATGTACATTTTGTATTTGTGTAAAAGTTGAATTCAAAATGTGTCGTGATATATAATTTTTAATAATTTTAATTAAAAAATTTTAAGTTAGCTACTAGGTACCTAGTTTTATATGAATTTATTTGAGTATTGTTAGTAGCCAGGCGGTATATTAGCTGGGGGGAGGGTGCTCCCTAACCCCCAGTAAAAAAAAATTGACCATAGTTGTACCTAAAAATTAAGCCTGCAGAAGGAATTTGTATTGTCAAAAACGGGAGGCTTTGGGAATTCACATATTTGTACAAAGGGAGCCGTTTGGAAGTTGACCTTTTTGTAAAACGAGAACTATTTGGAAAAAACGGAAGCCAAATAAGCTATATACGGTTAACCACCTAGTAGTTTTTACTTTTATGTGATTTAACACAGAGGCTCAGTTATCTTAAGGCCACCCAATCCACATAGTATACACGCTAATGCATCTGCCCCTATACAAATACAACAATTACAATATTTTGTATAATTTTTTAATAATATATTATATATGTTGTAATCTGTAATCATATTATGCGATAAATACTTTTCATTACTTTTTCAAACCATATAGGTAGGTAAGTACCCATACAGTTACACATTTCAAAAAATATTAATCCAGCTAAAATAATATATATCATGAATATAATATTAAGATATGATATGCATACTGTATAGTGTATAAGTATACCTTCTAAATTCTGCTGATCATATTTTAAAACCTATACTGATGAAGATATAATAATGTAGTTATTTTGAATTAATTTGTATACATTATTTTCGTTTTTCGTTGTATATTTTAACTTAAATATAAAAATGATGGTACTCTTAAAAATGTCTAAAATAAAAATATTAGAGTATTGAAATGGAATAAAATAAGAACATAAATTAGTTTATTGATTAATTAAAATAGGTCAAAGAGAAAATTGACGTAATTGGATAACGTCCAGCAAAAAAATGTATGTTAATTTGCAGAAAAATTAAAAAAACGATGTGCAGTGCAATATAAAAATAATGAGAGAAATAAGGAAATTTGTTTTGAATGTTTATCATTGACCGGAATGACCTTTATACATTTTAAGTGATATATGTTTATGTGTTAAATATCTGATTTTTTTTTAAGCCATTAAACCAACATTTAATTTTTAATGTAATAATAATGTAGTAGGGAAAAACAATTTTTAATAAATTATTCATTTGACATTTTATAAAAAAAAAACAAATGTTAAATGTTTATTTTTTAAATATATCTATATAAATGTTAAAAAAATAATTTTAGTTACCTAGGTATTATTATTATGTATTATGTGTATAATAATCTATTTTATCTGTAAATTTATCCTATTTTTTATTCTAAGGAACTTGCCATAGAAAGTTAATTTTGGGAAATTCTACTACAGTTTCAATAATAATATAACATGAATACAGCAGAATCCTAGAAATCCACAATTTGAAACCAAAATACTATGAAAATATAAACGTTTAGCTTATTTAAAAAAAAATTAATCATGAACTACGAATTACGATTATTTTTATAGATTATAAATGCATTTACACATTACACATTATATGCATCAGTATGTATGTGCCTATATAAAAAAAAGTACGATTTCGGGACCATCTGGTCGTGCGAATGTGCGATTTTTCTTTAGGGATGATGAGGCTGATAATATGTTCACACAGAGTTGATTTAATTATAGGGTCTCCCATAATTTTAGCTTACTGATGCCGAGGTTTTATTTTAGGTTTTGTGTCTGTAGAAATCTGTATTTACAGTATTTCTATGGTCTATGAAAAATACTGTAAATACAGATTTCTACAGACACAAAAGGGTGGCCTCTTAAATTTGAGAAAATTACAAAATTATTTCTATGGTCTATGAAAAATACTGTAAATACAGATTTCTACAGACACAAAACCTAAAATAAAACCTCGGCATCAGTAAGCTAAAATTATGGGAGACCCTATAATTAAATCAACTCTGTGTGAATATATTATCAGCCTCATCATCCCTAAAGAAAAATCGCACATTCGCACGACCAGATGGTCCCGAAATCGTACTTTTTTTTATATAGGTACAATACAATGTATAATATGTCATCTAAGTACATATTTAAGTTTGTAGTTTGTAGGATATATTTTCATGTGAGGATAACCTATAGCGGTGTGAACTTAAAGTTTTTACTCGACAAACGAGTGGAATAAGAAAACATAACACGATATTTAACTTCAAGTTTTTATATTTTCATCTTTTTTTGTTACATCCAACATAACAGAATAGTTGTGTACATAGTAAGTTTGCCGATATTCGTCGTTCAGACACAAATAACGAAAATTACTGAGGACACAATATTTGCAATGGTAAAAAATGTGCATGATTTCACATGCATTGTCTAATAGCTAATGGTATACGTGTGTTTGGGCCGTTTCAGCGTACATGGTTACATGCGGGCTGGGTTTACTTCTTTTTGGAGTCTTCTGGTTTCTGTGGTTGGGAGGCGATCAATTCCAAAGACTTGGCGATCTCTGAGGGGATGGTCGGGACGACGTTTCCGACTGCGTGGTAACCGGTCTCGTCGGCGTAGTACTTGACTTCGACTGGAGCACCGTCGTCACCGACGTAAGCGTAAGAGCCTTCGATCACTTGGACGGCGTTTTCGGATCCGGCGTTCTTCACGTATCCGGCAGCCTGGGCAACGATACCGTTCTCGGTTTCGAATCTGAAATGTACGCACATGGTTTACAAACAATATAATTTTGATGTGCATGCCGTGTGGTGCGTCTCTATTTCTCTATTTCATCCGCCATTTGCGCCGTTGCAGAAAGTCGATCAAATAATTGTAGGTATATCTATTATAATACTAACCCGTATTTGAATCCGTTTACGTCAGCTTCTTGCGATTGTCTGACGATAGCTGGCAATTTGTTGTCAACGTTTTTGTACACTGGAGCAACAACCTTGGGCACGACTGGCACGGGTGCGATGATCGAAGCCGGGGTGACGGCACTGACGGCGGGGTAGACTGCTGGGGCACCTGGGTAGTAACCGCGGTTGTAACCTGTGTGAAAATAGTAAGTTATAAGAAATTGTTAACGTATCGTGTGATTCTGCAGTGTCTTCTTAGACGAATAATAAACGAAATCAAACCTTGGTATCCTGGGTTGTAACCAGATTGGTAACCAGTTTGGTATCCTGGGTAGTATCCCTGGTAACCTTGGTATCCTGGGTAGTATCCTTGTTGTCCCGGGTAGTATCCGTTACGGAATCCGGAGTTGTAACCTTGGTAACCTTGGTAACCCTGGTAACCTTGGTAGCCTGGGTAGTACCCTTGTTGGCCTGGGTAGTAGGCTTGGTTGGATGGGAATCCACTGAAAGTGAAAGCTTTGGCAGCTTCCTTAGGAGGGGCCGCAGCCACTGATGCGATGACAGCTACTAACACTACCTAAAAACGAAGACAAAAAAAATTATATTAAATTGCTGAAGATAGAAATAATTGTATGTATAATTATTGCAGTGTAGTAGATATAGTAGTAATTATTGCAGTGTAAATGTTGTAGTTACACTGGGAAAACTTTTATAGGTGTAACATTAATTTTAAATTGAAACTAAAAATATGCAATTGGTTAAAATGTTAAATACTCGTATTTAGCGTAAATATTATTTTTACACTTTTGCAAAATATAAATATTGAAATAATAATTTGAACTTAAAAAAATTAAAATTCCCAGCTTAAGTTAAATTTTTTTGGCGGTTTTATTAATTTAAAAAATATGTTTATAAAATATTTGTAAAAAATAATAAGATATATATAAAATACTAAAATGGTGCAAGTGTATTATTTTAGTATAATAGGTACGTCAGAGTGTTTTACAATAATCACAAATAATTTTAGTCATTATACTCTTCTATAAAATAAAACTGTTTTTAAATTGAAACTATAATAAAGAACGTTGCACACTTAAATAAAATATTAAATCGAAAATGTTACTAAGTCAGATTGATTTAAAGTATAAAGATTTTAAAGAAATATTATTTTACTCACCAAAGTGTTCATGATGATATTTTTTCGGACGTATACCGTGATCAGAAAATTGTCGTATGTTGGGATGTGGACAGATGACACAACTGATGCACAATGAGCATCTCGATGAGGTATATATACCAATATTTTGGCGCAGGTTCACGCAAAATACCTTGAACTTGACATTTAAAATAAAGTAAAGTATCTCCCCTTTTTTCTGCGAATAAATTATTTGATTTTTTATACACGTCTTGTCCAATATATATGCACATATATATGTAGATTTGTAGATTATTGGATGAAGAAGACCGGTTTGCGATTTTTTTTTATATGTAACTGCGCTCCAGACAGAAAAGTGGAACTGGTATTTACAATTTTTTTTCATTATTATTATTATTAGAATTTAAAATCGATGGCTATTTTCGATGTTACACCACAAACAGTTTAAACCATCAATTTATATAATTGAGTATATGAAAAATGTTTTATTTTCAAATAACAGCCTTATGAAAAATTAGTCTATTTATTCTGCACACATAATATTATATTATGGTTGGTACCACGATGACAAATATTATGAATTATGTGACGAGTCTTAACGAATGACGATGGTCAAATATCGTTATAATAGGTAACATGAATGAATCTGGACGGGTTCCAAGTCAATTTTTTTTGTCTGATTTAAGAGAAATTTGATATGCAGGATGTCCATTGTCCGTACTCGATTTAAAATTGTGTTTTACTCAAAAATACACATTTTATGCGTGTCCAAGTACAATTATAACGTATTACTGTTAACAATTGTTTACGATGTACCCTATATAATATCATATTATATTCACATTAAATCATATAGATTAACAGTAATATAAAGGTAAAAATTTTTTTTTCAATTTTTCTACATGCTATCAATGCTATCAAAAACTAAACGTGCATGTTTAAACTCTGCAGCACTGCAGTATACCTACGTATTGTAAAAGTAATGTATTATTGGAATCAATTTAATAAGTTATTTTAAAATTGTATAAAAAATATTTGTTTTCCATAACTTACAACTCTATTTGTCAAAACTCATAAGTAATAATTCGAAATACTTCGCGTTCTACAATCAACATAAAGATTAACTAATTAGTTTAGTATGAACATTGAGCATAAGACTAACGTGTATAGGTATATTATTAGTAAGGTTATTTGGAATTTCAAACCTATATTGCTTCATTATATACTTTACTATACCTGAAAGCTGCAGATACCAATGTAAATCTGTACCTAATCCTAAATCCATTTCTTTCAGTACATGTGATTAAATACATAAAAAAAACCATAATATTTTTATAAAAAGAAGTATAAGAGGTCATGTTCCGATGCGTTCGATCGATGATTTTCGAAATTATAAAACATTGAAAATATTTATATAATGTTGTAAAAAAAATATATTTATTTAATGGATCACTAAAATCTTATGAGACTATAGTATATGACCATTGATTTATTATATGTTTAGTGATTGTTTAAATATTTATACAACCCAGCCAGGCCCGTGGACTGGCTGTGATGCTACAGCATCCCTTGCCATAAAATATATTTGCTTAATATAATTTATTATATATTTAAAACTTAAAGACTTTAGACACCTAATGAACAGTAGTTTGTTACCAACTTCCTATTATTAGTAATCTATAATATTGTACAAATTGATTGAAAGTTTGTTATAAATTGGTACTTATTTACGTTTTTAACGTAACTATATTCAATATTATTTATTTTTTAAAACAAAATAAAATATATTAATATTTTACAAATAATCTAAATGTTTGTTATTTTCCCTATAAATTGTGTAGCATCCCGTGCTCTTTTTTAGCAGTCCGTGTCTGAACCCAGCAATCGTAAATTATTAATATAGAATAGATATAAATTATAAATATTAATTTAAACAAAAATTATAATCTAAAAACGGTGAAATATCCTTGCGATTCTTACACCTGATTTTATAAGTGTTTAATTTATATTACATTGTTGAAAACCAGTTGATAAAAAACATAAATGTGCCGCCTGTCGAGGACGTCTGTCGAGGGTTGTATATTAAGTTGTAGACTACTGGTGAGTGGGTGTAAGTTTAATTCATAACTTTGTAAGGATGTGTTTTCAAGATACTGCATGTCAGAATGTATTACACTTATAAGTACTTCGTATTTTTACTCGACTAAGTAATAAATACTTTTACTAAATAACTTTATTCACTAAACATCATATATATTATTATATATTATATACAATGTATAATAATATGATCTCATGAGTAGGTATGATCTTTAAGATTGTAAAACCATAGCTTAAAAAAGTATCCTATATTGGCTTACAATAAAATTATCATATATTATAATAAGGTCATAAAAAATTGTTATCACCTATAATTCTAATAAACATTAAATATTCGTATGAATAATTACATTTATTAAACTTAATTTATTTTTATTGTAAGAGAACCGTAAGAACATTTTAATTGTTTAAATTTTTTGTTTTAATAAGTTATTGTGCCATACAATTTCGAAGTGTATTACATTAATATTTTACTCAAACTGTTTTATTTTTAACATTCATTTAACACATTCGGTGCTTTTGTCGGCTATATCCGACGGATCGGTTTTTTCATGGTGCGTCTGTCGGATATAGCCGACTTGTAGGTATGTGAACGGTGCGCCTGTCGGATATAGGCGACATCAAGTCTGTTGAATTAAATGTGCTATAAAATAGAGACGCACTAGAGTAATGTTTTTTTTTTACACACGCCTCTGCATAGAAATTTTTTCGTTATTTCAGTCCAATCCATTTATAAATAACATATTTTGTTGATTTTTCCGACACTAATTAAAATGTCCGAATTGGTGGCACGCTCCTAGCGAACATTGATATATTTTGTGACGCATCTAACGTGTCCCAACTAATTATTTGACGCAGTGAATGTGTTAAAAAAGGTTTTTAATTTAAACATTTTAAAACTAACATTAAAATAATAATAAATATCCTAATAGGGACTTAGAATTACATAACTAATATTGATTTTACATAAACATAATGTATTTAAATTTTAAACAAAAATACTTGTTTTATGCAATTAAAACTGAAAACAACGAATAAAAAAAAAATTCATAAACGTGTAACTGGTTATCAATCGCTGTTCAAGTAATTTGTTCCGTAACTTATACAACATATAACCACAATATAACTGATAGATCTAAGATACTAATTTACCTATATAATAACATTTTACACAAATCTAATTTTATTTTTTTACTGTAATAAATATATTTATTATTTATTTTAAAATAGGTACTATAAGCTTTGAACAATAAGATGAAAATAATAATAAGTCTAGGTCTAAGAACTTATATGTACTTAAAAAATAAGAAATATGCTAAAAAATTCACAAAAAAAATTATCCGAGATTCAGGTTCATTAGGTAATTGAAATAAAAGCATGATGAATTATATTTTGAAGTTAACCAAATAAAACCGGAAAAAACGAATTTATTCTTTCGTTATCTACGTAATAAACGTAGTTAATCAGCTACTTCGCGGGTGTGATTTCTTAACAAAATATTATGGTGGTCAACTGAAGATTATTTCTTACTCGCATTCGCGTTTTCTTATTATATACGTTGCGTTAAAGTCATACCAACCCTAATAAATACGATTTCAAATTGTGAAATTATTATTTGTATACCGAAATTACCCAAGTGTGTTTTTATATGGTCAAACTCATTCGACAATTAATTTTCTATACTATCCAAAAATTGGAAAACATGTTTTTAATTTTTCTAATGTATAAGTACCTACTCAAATATGCAAAAATATACAAAATTAAATTCGAAACATAGCTTTTCATCTATTTGTAGATCACTCACAATGTTGTACGGCCTTTTTAGACAAATATGAAAAAACTAAGTCCTCAACCCTAATAATAACTGTAAATCAGTTCGGTACCCATATAAAAACTACCTAGGTACATTTAACGAGGATAAAATACTTAATGCTGCGTAGGTAATTGCTTTTCATCAAGTACTCTTATTATTTTCTATAAAAATTCTTTGGTCATATTCTTTGAACCAAGTGTCCGGGTGTAAAGTTTTTTTTTATTTTAACACTTCAATAAAACCAGTCCAGACAATGATAAAAATACCCTTAATCAAGGTCATGTGACATAGCGGAATCCTGTTTAGATACAAAAGCAACATGATGTGATCACTGGTTGAGACTGTTAATACTTAAGAGCGACATGGAAATCTAATTATAACTCTGAAGGTAGGTGCGTAAATACATGTCGCATGTCACATACATAGTATGCACATACTAGGTGTATCAGTGTATGTATTACATTAAAATACATTTTAGACTATATATGAATAAGATTCACACGGTTCGTTAAAAATATTCATACCATGTAGTACGGAGGAAAAGATATATTTTTATGACATTTTTTTTTATAATTTTTATTCTTTAGGTACCTATACTAATAATTCAATTTGACATAATAAAGATTATAGACTAATACAGAATAATAAATAAGACAAGTTGTAAAAATAATCGCATTCATACGAGTAACGACGAATCTACTGGCTACTACAGTACTATTACTATAAAGTATAAATAATTATTCTTACATAGGTACTAAAAAAAAGGTACGTAGGTGCTAAAAAGGTATATATAACGTATACGTTAAAATAATCCTTTCAGACATAGTATTAGCTATTGTTACCAAACTTGAGTAGTTTATTTCGAACATTAATTTATCTAACCCCTCAATAAAAATTGAACGTATTGTATAAATAAAAAGAAAAATTCATAGGCTTAGTATAAATAAAATGTTTTATTTAAAAAAATTGTATGCATCAAATTATAACTTTAGTCTATAATGTAGGAAATTGTATAATTTTATTAAGTAAAAGATAGTATAAATATTGGTAAATTTAGTGTATTTAAAACTTTCTTTTTAAAACATATTTAACTTAGGTTTATGGGGCATAAATGGCATAC